TCGGCCGACTGCTCCGAGTGCCTCGACGATAGCACCGACGACTGGCCGCCCAGAGGGGTGAGTTGCCCGCATGCCCAAACTAACTACAGTCCCGTGTATGTCCCGGTCTCACCTGCTGTCTCTTACTCTCCAGGCGCCGACCTGCCTCCGGCCCGACCTGAGCCCCGACTGGGCCGTGAGCGCCGCGGCGGCCCGCGACCTGGCGCTGCACAGCGGCGCCGTGTACCGCGCGGCTCCCGGACGCTGGTTCCGACGCCGCGGCTGGGCGGCGCTGCTGCCGGCGCCCGCGCGGCTGCTGGTGTTCAGCGGCGCGCGCTCCTCGCGGCCCCGCCTCGTGCTGCTGCTGGCGCCGCTGGCCCCGACCCTGGCCCCGGCCCCCTGCTGCGACCCCTGCTGCGCCGTGTACTCCGCCCGGCCCCGCCAGCAGGGACCCGCCTTCGAGCTGTGCTGCCCGGGGAGGAAGACGCACCAGGTGAGCGAGTCGCCGCGCAGTCGGCCCGGCCGCGGCTGGCAGGACACCACCGCTTTGACGTCCGACTTGTTGCTCCAGCTGTGGGTGTCGGACGAGAAGGAGGCGCAGGACTGGGTGGACGCACTCCGCCGCGCCCCGCAGCCTCCATCCTCATCGCCGTCGCCGCCGCCCCCCTCTTCCGACCGCAACCAGGACAATACCGTCGATCCGTCCGTCAGGCCTGGGTCCCGGTCGCGGTCCGAGTCGCGGTCGGTGTCGTTCGTCGGCGAGTCGCATAGAATGTCCGGCGCGGAGGCGCAGGGACTCCCGGATGGCGAGCAGACGCCGCCACCACCGCCGCTCACGCCACCGCCCGCTTCTGAGGTGAGTCTGGTCGTCTGGTGTGACGTGTGACCCCTGGGGTTTCCTGTCTCCATTCACTCAGGATCTCTTCCTTCATAATGGTCTTCCATTTTCCAGGACCTCCAGCAGGAGTACGAGTCCATGATGGCTGGTAGCGAGGAGATCTACCACGACATCGCCTCGCCCAGTCCAGCGGCCCTGGACATCGGCGCAAGGCAAAGGGGGTGTCCCAGCTACGTCAACGTGCAACTCCACCTCAATACCACGTCCCTGGCGTCAGAGGAGTCCGCCGACGTCCCCGAGGCGGAGGACCTTGACGGCCAGACCAGGCCACTGTACGACGACGTGGCGGCGCGTCCTCTGGCTCCGGAGTACTGCAATCTGGGTCAGGACGAGGAAGAGCACGTCATGGGCGAGCACTTGTACGACGACATAGGGCCGACCGAGACCAGGGCGTCCGTGTACGAACTGATACAGGACCCCAATCAGGTCATCGGCCAGGGAATCAGGTGTTCATAATGTAACACATCTGATTACAATATTTAATTTATATATGCACTTTTTGAAAAAGATAAATAAATAGAAACACATGATAACCACATTTTTCTTTCTGTAAGGAAAAAATAAAAAAATAAGAAACAGAAAAACAAATGAAGTAGAATTTGACAAAACTATAAATTTTTAAAAATCATCACGATATAACATTAGGAATACGTATTAAATTCCAGAGGTCGGAGTTGAGGTCATGTTTCACAGTGTGGCACTTCCTCATCAAACACCAGTTCAATGGATGATATTGGTAAACACCCTCTTTTTAAACTCTAAGCTGTCAATTACCAAGAATGTTCAGCCTCATTGAGTAGTGTTAGTTAACCACAACTAAAGTACGAGGAGATGATAAATAACTTATAATTAAGTGCTTTGCAATGAAATAAGTAAAACACTTCTTAGTAAGAAAGGAAAGCAGCCAACGGATATTAAAGAATCTCAGTCCCTTCCCCTACTTGACTAGTACCTTCATACTTAACATACAAGACATCAAACACACCACGATGATACTGTGAAAGATTCACACAAACATGCAGACAGCCAGTCAGAAAATAAGACACACACACACACACACACACAGACATCTTATTAAATCATAATTGGAAACAAAACATCACACAAAGAATCACAATTTGTATATAAGCATACAGTATACACCCACCTTGTAACAGTAAGAAGTACCACATTAAATAATCAGTGAGACACTAAACAATTGAATATAAAAGAAAAAACTAGCAGAAATTTCAATTTAAGTTGTCAGATCCCGTACAAAAATAACACTTCAAACTGATAATTACAACCTCAAGAACAGTAAACAGATCAGAATTTTGATTTCTTTTCAGCTTGTTTACAAGTATAAGGCATACCAATTTTTGATTGTTGAACAGGGGGTAGACATTTTTTTCGTAGAATAGAAAGAATTATTATCTAGTTCCTTACCAGAAGCCTCTGATGACTAAGAGAAAAAAGATATGCATACACAATAAGAAATATTCACAAGAGGAGGAGGAGGAGGTGGTGGAGGAGGAAGAAAGAGTCACCAAAGAGCAAATAATACATTCACAGTATAAATAGAGAAATTAAGAGTGGACTCCCTGCTCATACCTAGAGTCTAACGCATGAACAACTATTCAACTAAATCTCCAAGTTTATATATCTTCTAGAAAATATTTGGAAAGCTACCTAATTTAAGTTAGCTGTAGCGTAAATACCTAGAAATAGGTCAAAGGACTATGTATTGGGAAAGAGGTACACTAGTACCTATTACCATTTAATATTTTTGGAAATAGATATCAGAGTAAATTGTGAAAGATAAGGAACTAAAGTGATACAATACTGAAGAACTTAACAAGTCATCAAGATATTGAGCATTGTGATCAAAATATTTACCACTGACAGCAGAAATTACATTCAGTTGACTACAACTGAGTAATCCATTACTGAAAAATTGTCATACAATACAGATACTTCAAAAGTTTAGCTTACAATAAAACATTTTGTTTTTCCTGGTTCTTAAGGCACAGTGCTTTAGTGCCAGCAGCACCAATGGACGGTGATTTTGCAACAAGAGCACAGGCAGTGCCTAGGATCAGACTTTTCTGGAAGAAAGTCTCACAATTTTTAAAAAAAGGAATAAGTTGGACATGATATATTAAAAATGAAGTTCACCCTTCAGAGAAGCTCAACTTTATGGCCAACGAATGAGTTCCTTTAAGATTCTTGTACATTATGACACAACGGAAATTCATAAGACAAGCAGAAACTTTTTTGAGTGTAATTTTCTCAAAGCCAATTGATTTGATCTGCTGATTGTGGTATGTCACCCTATAAGAGACAGTTGAAATTTTACAATAATAAAAATCACTGAAAATGCATCCAAACATCGAAATCACAGAGCAAAAGTGAAATCGCAGTCATACTCTCTCCTAGTATAGCACAACACAACTCCATTCTGAAAGGTAACCATTACACCATTTTTTCACGAAGCCTGCATGAAGCTAGGCACGTTAGAAGAGTAGTTTAAGAAATCTGCATGTAACGGAGGTTGAAATTTTCATTCAAATTGCACTTCATAAAAATGTGTCCATTGAACAATTTCTGCCTCCACTTTCACCTCACGTTACATGTAGATAGCCTGATGCTATGCACTCATGCGATGCACACCAAGGCCACTTCCATTAGGCCGTACTGAATTTCTCACAATGCTATTGCCATTCACTATAGGTGACATGGTGAGGTCAAGTAGATCATCTTCATCATGCTGATTAGCCAACTGGTATCCTGAGTCATCAACATGGGAACACAGAGGTTGTCGGGGATATCGAGCCAGACGCCACACTGCAGCCCACAGTGCAATTGCAAAAAGACTAAGCAATGCAGGCAAGTGGACCAAGCTGGCAGGTCCCATTGACACCATCATTTTGTATGCCAGAGTAGGGAAGAACATTTCTCCCATAGCAGGGCCCATGACAAGCATAGCAGCTACACGGTGAGTGATGAGAACATGTCGTTGCATCCATAGCATGCCTATAAAGAGAAATGATCAAGTTAAATCATTTTGTTTCTCTAATAATTAATGTTTACTTCAGAAATACTTTCCAATACAAAATAAAAATGAGGAAAACTAGGAAAGGAGCTCTCATACCTGATGGAAATACAGATGCTGTGCCAACACTGACCATAACTGAACCTATCCATAGGGCAACTTCTGATGAAGAAGCAAAGGCAGAGAGGAGCCAAGTGGCACAAGAGCAAATGGCAACACTCAAAACAAGCATTGCTGTTGGTGATAAGGCACTTGCAAGAAGAATACAAGCAAAACGAGTGCTGGTCAGAGCTCCCCAGAAGGTAGCTGTAAGTGCAGTTCCTGTTGACTGTAAAGAAAAAAAAATATAAGTAAAATTACAAAGAATAAAATAAATTTAATATTGTACAGTATTTACACAAAAAATGACATTTTATGAGTACCTGAGAAATGAGAAGAGGAGGTTGTATAGAATACACAAGTAATAACTGCCCGTACATGGCCTGAACACCTGAGGTGATCATCAAAAGAAGCATCATCAAACCAATTAGTGTGTGTCTCATGCATCGAGAAGGAATCACTAAGGTTTGAGACGAGTTTGTCCTGCTGCGGTTAGTCCCTCGAACCACAGGGCCATTCATTTCTTCTTCATCAGTCTTTGATTTGGGGTCCCTTGGATTAAAGCACAAAAATCCAAGGAACAAAAACGACGTTGCCAAAAGAACCATACCAACTGTAAGGTACATCAGCTCCATTCTACTCAAGCCATACTTTTCCAAACGATTGGCAAAAGCATCTATAACCGTGTGAGTTACTTCTGTGGTTTCATTGACGACAGTAGATGCTGGTTTGCTGTGATGCAAATGTTTTGGACTCACAGGTGGAGGAACATAACTTTGGCTGTCAAATGTCTGAGAGAAATTTTTAGCTGGATGGGTTTCCTTGCTAAAATTCCTAACCGCTGGGCCACCTTGTCCTTTGGCATCTTTGGTCATGTCTTGATGAGAGGGTTGATGCTGTTGTTCTTGTGTTGGTAAAGCTTCCATTAGGATTTTGAGGCCACCTTCTGCCACAGACTTTTCAGTGACAATAGAAGCTTTATCAGCTTTGCTCGGTTTTATTGACAGCTGAGGTTGAGGACTTGTCAACAGTACTTGGGGCTGTTGACTGGGTAAACTTGAAGTAAGAGAATGAACCTTCTCAAATCCAACTGAAGAGAGGCTTGGTTCAACTTCTGGTGAGTTGACAGCAGACATCTCTTGCTCATCTAGTGAAATACTCTTTCCAATATCATGGGAACCATTCACTGGTTTGATATCTTCCAATAAGGGAAGAGATAGTTCTGGTGAGACCGCATGATTGCTTGCTTCAGTTTTATCAACAACTGATGAAATGGTTACCAAAGAGGCATCTTGAGTAAAGTCACTTTTTGTGTTATTTTGAGCTGGTTCTTGATTAGAGCTAAAGGTATTCTTAGGTTGACCACTTTTAATAGAATTTTGTTTTCCCTTACCCAAATTCTCATCAGTCATTTTTTCATTCTTCTGTGTTTCTGGCTTTGGTGCATTGTAGGTCGTTGCACCAATCTGGACATCAGTACTTGCAGCAGTTGCATTAAGAAGACTTGCTAAAGCAGGTTCAGAAGTAGAGTTAATTTTCAGAGGTTCAACACTTGACAATTCTGTAGATCTGTTATTCAGTTGACCAGCCGTGGAATTTGACAACGATGCAACTGTTGGTACAGTCTTCAAAGGTGATAGACTAATAGATGAAGAAGAATTCAATATAGAAGGAGACACAGTACTGCCTAGGCTGTTTAGACTTGACAATGAAATATTTACATGTGATGAGTTTGACAAAACATTTGATTCAAGGGTTAAATTACTTTTCTGAAGAGTTGTTACAGTTGTTGGATGAGAAGACAAATTCCCCGAAGTGGTTGTTTTGTTATCCATCCGAACCATAGGTTTCATGGTAGTGGAAACAGGCACCAAATCTTCTGGAGGTGGTTTACGGAACTTCTCGTTCTCCCATTTTTTGTCTTGAAGCTTTTCAGAATTAGTTAAAACAGGCTTTGGTCTTGGAGCTCTGTGTGTTGTGGTTGACACATCATTTTTCTGTGTATCTAAGACTTTAGATACATTAGAAGAAACAGTAGGGCCAACAGTAGATACAATAGATAGATTGCCTGACAGTATAGGGGGACTCGGCACTGAAATGTTAGATGGAGGAATGGCTGCAGTAGGAGCTAAAGATGTAACCAGAGTTGCTAACGTAGTACTGGTTGAAGACAAATTTCCTGATTGACTTGGCTTCTCAGATATCTCGGACAAGGAAGAAGCAGGTGTTGAAAGCTTTGAAAAATTAGAAGTTGCTACAGATGTCTCATTAGCTGGCATTGTCTGATTGAATGTTGGCTGCAATAGAGGCGGATGAATTTCTGGAATGGTCGTGTTTAATAGAGAGAAGTTTCCAATGTCTCGTGGCAGTCTGGAAACAGAAAACCACAAATTATTTAAAATTTGACAAAACCTGTGAAGAAAATAAAACCAGACAAAGAAAATATATAAAATGAAATTACCTGTGAAGAGGAAACATTGCAGGTGTGGTGGGAGGAGGAACAACAGAGTAATTTATAGGAGCCATCAAAGGTTGAGACAAAAATGGGGCCAAAAATATTCCTAAACTAAAGCTAAAATGCAAGGCTTGCATGAATGGCCCACTGTTCCTACTCCATAAATCAAGGCAAAGAACATTACCACCTGTAAAACGAAAACATAGTTAATAGACCCAACAGAGCAAATGTTGTTTACAAATACACTTTGCTCAACCAACAGTACCTGTCGTTAAGAAACCTAGGGACACACCCAAAAGAAACATATCAGTTCTTAATAACCATGGAATACCACACCATGGAATAATGGTCACAAGTAAGGCGGTAACAAGCAAGGCAAGGAATACTAAGAATAATCTATTAAATCTGTCAAGCATCCTTGCACCTAAAAAAGTCAAAAAAAAAAAAAGTGTATGAAACAAACAATTAATTCAGTATTATTACTGATGATACAAGGTCACAGGGAAAGACAGCAATGGGCTTACCAAACATTGCTCCAATCATGAAACCTTGACATTTATACATCAGTTCATAAGTCATGAGAGATATATCATGCCGCAGTTCTGTAGGTGGTACTGGTGCCAGAGGGCCAGGAATTGAGAAAGTCAACCCCTGTAAATTCAAAAGTAAATGTATAAACTGTTCTGTTAAAAACTGTTATAAACTGGTCCTGTCAAAATTGGTGAACGTGTTCAACTTACCAAACCCAGAAAAGCCCCACAAAGACCTAAAGTTTTGGAGAACATAGCACACTTTCCACTAGAGACTCTCCTTATTGCTGACTTTGCAGATTTTCTTGAAGTGCTTAATAGTCCGGCCTGGTCAAACACAATATCCTCCTCGAAAGGATCATCATCATCTCGGTAACTCATTTTGACAAGTGTACTCCTAGAATAAAATTCGAGGAAAAATAGCTGAGACAAATGCAATAACAGATTTTCATATACAATGCATACGGATGATGTAAAATGTGTAATTCATTTTACAAATACAAATGACTAGAAAGATCACAGGTGCACGTAGAAGGCTAACCTATCATGCCAACAACTGTGGTCAAGAAACGCGAGATGATTGTCAAAGGTAGGACTTATAAAGATCACTGAAAAAATTGCTTGCAGCCCGAAGAAGTTACTGTTGTTTTGAAATTAAAATGCATAATGTGAAGAAGTCACAGCAGCTGCGAGTATTGTGCAGATCCTAAGAGAACTGTCAATATATACCCTCCAAAATATTACTACAAATCATAGCACTTAACACAAGGTATTACAGGGGGAGAGGCGGAAAATGCACAGTATTATCATTATCGTTATGCAATAATTACCAAAAATCAATATTTACTTGTTTTTCCTATAGCAGACGCATTCTGTTCAGGTAGGTTACGTCCAGTTAACAGCGCCAAAAAGTGGGGGCATTCTAGTTCAACCGGTCAGAACTGCTCGCTTTGCTTGCTGCTTTGGCTGCTTTCCTATACTTGATCTGCAGTAGTTTGTCTCAGGTTTATCAACACGCGCTATAGAAAAGCCGTTGACGTGCCTTGCACCGTAACAATTTGCTGACAAACAAAAAACAGCAAAAGGGCTGTTATACCCTAATTCTTTTCGAAGCTGTAATAACTATTTTATTTTCCTTACTTCCGAAGCCACCGCGAAACTCTGATTCTGCTTGACATGAAATCAAGCATTACTACCTTGTGCTTGCAAGCCTTGTGGCTACGCCACTGGGCAAGCGGAGAATGCAAGGTGTATAGCATTTTGATCTGACAGGTGCACTCGATTCCGTTTAAGACGTGGGCGTGCATACAACAGTATTAAACCGCTCAAATACTTTTATCCTTGGAACAAAATTTGTTTATGCGCTGTGTGTCACAAAAAAATTATGCATCCCTTTCCTTTTCCTTATGTGAAAAGGGAGTTTTCACTTAGAAACTGTGCGGCTTGGGAGTACAACAACCAGTGATGTTGATTAAACTCTCTCTGTTTGATGTCAACATGGCCCCTGCAGTAGGTTAGCCTATAGCCTAGATTCGAAATTTATGCTATTTTTGACTGTAAAGGATGTGAATTTGTGGTTGCAATAGCTGTCGGCAGTGACGGAAGACTTAAATATGTCCTGAAAACTATGTCATAATGCAGAGGTCTGGCCAGAAGAGGCCCAATACCCCAAGTGTTTCGAAATGCCAAACGGACGCTAGTCACTGGGCACAGGAGGTGCGGGAGGTGGTTGTTCGTGCAAAAGTCGACGGCACAGTCAATTTCGCTGTACGTGGTGGATCAGACCACGGAGAATTCGCCTTTGTAGTTGAGGCTGAAGAGGGTTCCGGCCTCTTCGACGGAGACCTACTCCTGGAGGTGCAGGGAGAGAAGGTCGCAGGTTATACTCAAAGAGACGTGGAAGCTTGGCTAAGTCACTGCTGCCGAAACGGAAACCCCGTCACGCTCAAATCTGTTCGAGGAGGTGAGTACTGTGTAGTTAAACAGTTTTTACCCCTCCTTCCCGAGAGTAATTTTTTACCACGCCCCACGTCATTTGTGTTCTAATTTTGAAAGCCCCTTGGGTGGCGCCCCGCCATTGCCATTGCAGTATGTAGGTATATGTAGGCTGGTTCTAGGGCTGCACCCACAAGTAAGGAGGTCTCGTGAATTCGTTGCATTCTTTGCAATTTTCTGTTTTGATGGACTACCTATTTCAATTCAACCGTTTTGTTTTTTCATTTGTTATTACTTACGAGCTGTAGTATTTCTGGATGTGAAAGTTGGAGCATTTGTTTATGTTATGCATCGAGGTTATGGTTGGTTATATTTTGAGTTGTTTTTAATGGATTCTAGTTATCATTTTATTCAGTGCCACCTTGAAAATGTTCATTTCCTTTGATTTATTGTCTAATATTGTTTGTGGTAGCACATAAATACTTGGTTTGGAACACCTGTTTTCAGATTGTGCATACAGGTGGATTTTGGTGGACCCCTCTAAATAAATGACAACATGGCAGAGGGATCTAAGCCAAAATCCTTATTTCTATCTTTTGCTTGCCCTCAAATTATTCATAGAGAATGACTGTCTCTGTAGAAATATTTTGTCATTTAAATCGCATTTCATACATCTTTTTGTATTACAGGTGCTGTCCCCAAGGACCTAAGAGTATTTCTCAATACAAGATTCCAGCGTGGTTCAGTAGACCACGACTTACAGAATACTATTCGTGACAATCTATACCTTAGAACGGTACCTGTTACTACTCGTCCACCCCGGGAAGGAGAAGTGAATGGTGTTGACTACACTTTTCTCAGTTTAGAGGAATTTGCTAAACTTGAAAGAAGTGGAAGCCTTCTGGAAAGTGGAATCTATGAGGGCAATCATTATGGAACTCCAAAGCCATCAAAAGAACTTCAGAATGGATCTGCACCTAGTAATAGTGTAAACCTGAACGCTGCTGGTATATTTCCTGGAGCGCATCCATCCTCTGAAGGCAAGAGGAGGAGAAACAGGTCCAACGTTGAAGCAATGGCTGCTAAGAGCACAGAGCCAGAATCAGAGCCTGACCCGACCCATCCTGATTCTCAACACTACAAGCATAATAACCACAATAATAATCAAAGTGTCCAACACAGTGAATTTAACGAAAGCAAAATGAATGGATCAGGATCCTACCCCGATGCTCCCCCTAGCTATAATGATGGACCAAATCATGGAAATCATACCTCAGGGGATGACATTGGCCCTCTCCCTCCTAACTGGGAAAAGGCTTACACAGAACGAGGAGAAGTTTATTTCATAGATCACAATTCTGGAACTTCTCACTGGCTAGATCCCAGATTGTCTAAGTTTCAAAAGAAATCTCTAGAAGAATGTACTGAAAATGAACTGCCCTATGGCTGGGAAAAAATCCATGATCCGCATTATGGAACATATTACATTGATCATGTAAATAGACGTACACAGTATGAGAATCCAGTAATACAAGCAAAGAGGGCAGCCAATGATGCTGGCACTCCAGGTAATAAATGAAAGTAAATTCATCCCTCAAAGGGATTTGCTAAAAAAATATTTGCTTAATGTCTTTTGTTTAATTTTAATTCTGTTTTCAGAGAGCCTCATTCAGGAACTTGGAAGTGACGGTCAGTACCCTGTCCCTCGTGATGGTCAGTACCCTGTCCCTCGTGATGGTCAGTACCCCATCCCACGTGATGGTCAGTATCCCATTCCACGTGATGGACAGTATTCTGTTCCACCACCACCTCACAGTGCCCAGTCCAATCTTCCCCTTGGTCCCCCTCATAGTGCATCCCATGGCTCAATCCATGTCCAAACTAATCCTAATGGATCCAATGCTGGTAGTGTTCCCTCCACACCATCCAAACGTCAAAATAGTAAGAATTTATAGTCCTCCAATTAATTATGTTGTGAGCTGTCACATGAACCTTAAAAACTAACTCTCACCTCATTACAGACTGTTCATCTAGAGCATTTTTCACAAGAAATCCTCTCGAATTGGAGGGTGAACGCATTCAGACCACGCTCATCAAGTCTGCAAGAGGCCTTGGTTTCACAATTGTTGGTGGGGATGATTTAGAAGAAGAGTTTTTACAAATCAAGTCTGTTGTTCCAAATGGTTCAGCTTGGCTTGATGGAAAACTTCAAACAGGTCAGTGCTTCTAGGGCATGCCACTTGAAATCAAAGTACCCATCCCAAAGTGTTATTTCAACTCTATTTTTTCTTATCTAACTTATCAGGTGATGTCTTAGTTTATGTGAATGATACCTGCGTCCTGGGATTCACACACCATGATATGGTGAGCATGTTTCAGTCAATAGCTCCAGGAGAGACAGTTTCTCTTGAAGTTTGCAGGGGATACCCTCTGCCATTTGATCCCAATGACCCTAACACTGAAGTTGTCACGACTGTAGCAGTTAATGCTCCAGGTATGCTAAATCAATTTAAAATTATTGTTTTTTTATTCAAGAAATGTTTCTCAATTTGTAATTTCTGTTCATAATTTCCTTTCAGATCCATTAAACCCTGGAGGTGGACAGTACATGTACCATAATGGTGATATGAAGTCAGATCGTGGCTATCACTTTATGGAAAATGACGATCTGACAGGAAGCTCTGTTAAATCAATGCCAGAGCTTTGTGATAGGATTGATCAAGGGCCTGCAATTCCAAGACCTAATTCTACTGACACCCTTCTTGATCCTCCTGTTCCAGCCAAACCTGAGTTTTTGACCATCTCTATTGTCAAGGGGGCTATGGGATTTGGTTTTACTATTGCTGATAGTGCATACGGTCAAAAGGTTAAGAAGATACTAGACAGACAAAGATGTAAAACATTGCAAGAAGGAGATATTTTGGTTGAAATTAACAATGTGAATGTACGTACAATGTGCCATGGAGATGTTGTCCAAGTGTTGAAAGACTGTCCTAGGAATGTGGATGCAACAATAACTGTGCAGCGTGGGTCAAGTTCAAATAAGAATAAGGTCAGAAAGAAGGAAGACCTGCTGCTTTCAGGAGGAAGAAAGGCATACCGAAGCAAAACACCAACAGCTGATTTGTACAGTACCCAACCAAAGGAGGTGGTTCCTACAAGACCCAAAACCCCTCTTGTTGATACGAGAACTAGGTCAAAAACTCCAACTAATGTTGGTTCATGGATGCACAATGACCACAGCCTTAAAGCTGACAGTGATATTGACAAAAATACCGATATTCTACAAAGCCCATCCATTGCTTCCCAATATGACGGTTTTCCAGCGACTGCTTTTCCATATCCTCATCCTCATTCTTATGACCTTAGTCAACGACTGGCAAATACATCTCTCAGAAGTCCTGATGAGTATAGTCGAAGTCATAGCCCTGGAAATGAGTTAGATGTATCTGGTCAACATCAAAGCCATTATCCTCCATCAAACCAGTTGTATTTCAACGGTTATGGAAGCTATGAACATGGCTATGGCTATGGGTATGATGCTCAAACGGTTTCCGGCTATGCACCCCACCCTAATTTGGATTATTATCCAAAGGGGAAAGAAAGCACAAGTTTTGAACATGAACAACCTCTTTCAAGTCTAGTTTCCAGGTATTTTTTTCACTCAGAAATCAACATAGATATTTAACTATCGGTATATTGACTTGTTTTGTTGTGTTTTAAAGGTATCCAAGAGATCCTCGTTGGATTGGTCTAGGTCCTGCCAGAGTATATCCTGCTGAGCCTGGGTTTGATTGGGTAGAAACATTGGTGACTCTTCAGAGACAAGAGACTGGCTTTGGTTTCCGTATTGTTGGTGGGACTGAGGAGGGCTCCCAGGTAGGATCAACGGTGAGATCAACAAATGCACTGGTGCCCTCGGCGTGTAGCCAACACAAGTGCTTCATTGCATGCTCTTTTCATGTGGGTGTTTCCTTACGGGTGAAAGTATTTAAATTATTAAAGTCAAGCATGCAAACAACATTGGAAATTCTTCACTAGTACATTAGACAATATTATATATCTTGAGATGCCTTTGCTGGGAATCTTTTTTATGCAATTGGTTGCTTATGTTGTTTTTTTATTTCACTAATTGTATGCATAAGTTAACTGAAGTCCCACTTTCTGCCTTTGCTTTTTATATTGGGTGAAAGTTACTGTAGTTCATTCTTTCGTTCATTACTAGACAGTACTTCATTCTTTTTTTTTTTTTTTTTTTTTTAAAATCAAATGTCTAATAATCGATAATCAATGTAATCTATTGTACTTTCAGGTGTCCATTGGTCACATTGTACCTGGAGGAGCAGCTGACCTTGATGGCAGGTTGTGTACGGGTGATGAGATGATGAGTGTTGATGGTCAGTCTGTCATCAACACTTCTCATCATCATGTGGTACAGCTGATGGCCAGAGCTGCTGCTGCTGGACGCGTTACTCTTGGAATTCGTCGAAGAATACCCTCTCATGGTATGCATCATAATGCCTTCATTTAGCTCAAAATGAGGCTAATTAAGCATGATGCATAACTTTTTAATATTGTTTTCAGATGTGCAAAGTTTTAGCAGCAGGCATGATGGAGGTTATCCCTATGACGTCACAGTCACAAGACGTGAAAATGAAGGTTTTGGCTTTGTCATAATATCGTCAGTGAATAAAGTAGGCTCTACTATAGGTAAGCAGTGTCCTACTGGATTTCAATTCCCTCAGTAAGTAATTAAGTTTTTGTTAACCATCTTACGTTAAAATATATGTCTAGGGCGCATCATTGAAGGAAGTCCTGCAGAGCGTTGTAATCAACTCCATGTAGGTGACCGCATTTTGGCGGTTAACCACATGAACATTACTAGCCTTCATCATGGTGACATTGTAAATCTCATCAAAGATTCAGGGTATTCAGTCACACTCACAATTGGAGCTCCACTTGGTAGGTCATTTTTGCTCTTAATTCCCCTACTTTGGTTTACTATTTTACTATGAATCAAAAGTTGATGGGAGCTATACTTCTACTAAATGGTATGACCCTATTTTCCAGATGATGCCTCAAGCACTGCCTCTGTATCTCACCGTGTAAGTTCATTGAACCAAATCCATTGACCCCACTGTCTCCTCATTACTTTCTGTTTTCCATGTTTGTTTGTTTTTCTTTAAACATTGTCATGATAATTCTATCTAATATTAAGTATTAATGTAACATTCAATCTAGCTCTAAAATATCAATATTGTAAATTTCTCTCTTCTATATTTTTATCAAATTTTTTTTTTATAGGAGGAGGGAGCTGAAGATGAGCAGTATCATGCTGTTGAATTGAACCGAGGAACAAGAGGTTTTGGCTTCAGTATTCGTGGTGGGCGTGAGTTCCAGAACATGCCATTGTTCGTTCTTCAGATAGCTGAAAATGGACCTGCATCACTTGACAACCGATTGAAGGCAAGACTAGTTTATTACGAGTTGATTGACACTCTCCTATCTCAATTTCTAATTTGTTATTTTAATCCTACAGGTTGGAGATCAAATTATAGAAATCAATGGCATCAATACCAAAAATATGACTCATGCAGAGGCCATTGAAATAATTCGTAATGGCGGTCCGTCCGTACGTTTATTAATTAAAAGAGGCGGACGTGTTCCTCCTCCCCCAACTTTAGGTGGGTGTCATGACGCTTACTCAGAGGAAATGGTTGGGAGTTTAATGGAAACAACGTGCAGCCAACTAACCACTCCCCATTCCAATTCTGTAAATGACTCCATTGCTAATTCAATTGATGACCATACCTTGCAATCACGGAACAGCCAGTGTAGTGACCAAATGCCTGAATCACTAACCGACCCGTTAAGCGACCCTCTAACAGCTCCCTTAGCTATCCCAGTATTAAATGAAGCTAATGGTCAGGTGCATGATCCTATGCTTGATATAATGCCATCACAGTTCTGCTAAATTGTTTCATGTAACTAATTTACTTGTGTTGACAGATGACCCAATTATATGTTTGTGTTTGACAATCTATTTTTTAAACTAGTATTTCGGTCTTTCTGTGTGATATTTGAGGAATATTAACTTCTTAATCAATTTAAAATCTTTTTTCAAAAGAAAGTACTTATTGCTCAAGTTTATGCATGCATTGAGCTCTACTTAACTAACCTTACTAACAACTGGATTTTGTGTTCTTTTCATTGTTTTTCTACTATCTTGAAGTTGCATCTTGTAAATACCTATTAGTCTTGCATGATTTGATAAAATTTTCTTTTGTAATCTAATGTGTTGTAGTTCAAATTTGTAGTATCAGTATTGATTGTGTTAAGCTGTATTGAGGAAATTGTAAATTTTAATCTAATTCTCTTCATCTTTTTTTTTTTAATTCTGAAAACAAAGATATTACATAGTTATCCTTTTACATAGATGTATTGTACTTACTCTTAAGTATGGAATCTCAATTTTTTTAACACAATCACCTTGACTTTTAATTATTAATCATCAATTCTTGACCCAAAGTAGGGGAGTATTGAAGCATGTTATTTGTGTGCAGACCCGTGCATGAGGCCCAGCTCATCCCAAGCCCATGTGGGAGAGACTGGCTATTGGGATGCGTACCAGCAGAGCTGACAACTTTAATCGATCGACTCTCAGGTTCCGCTGCTTCACCCTTCAGTCTACATTTCATCTGTCAGTGTATTGATTGGAGGGTTATTAGCGTTGATTGCACTTTGATAGTTTGTTATTTAGCTTTGCTTTGTTGTTTATGTTATGTATATGATGGTTGTTTAGTTGCATTCAGTCAGTTGCTTTAGTATGTCTTGTATATAAGAAAATCAGCTCAATTATTATTTGATTAATGTCAGGTGTAGTGCTTCATTTGATCCAAAGATGCCGCCCTACTGAGCTCACAAGATGGGACGTGTAATTGGTTGGTGTAACTTTTTTAGTGCATGTGACATTTAGACATGTTAACCTACACAAAAATTTCTACTCCTGTGATTTATTTACTACTTAATTTATGTGTTCAAACTGTGAACTTTTGGAAGACAAGAAGAGGAAATAAAGTAGATTACAATGTCTCATGTGCATTTGAAAGAAAAACCAACAAAATCTGGATGAACGTTGATGCTCCGTCCAGAGACTAATGTTGAATGTCCACTGCACTAATAGTTATTGTCTACAGACTGGTAGAGTATATTTGTAGTAGCTGTTATATAATTTTTTTGTATGTCTTTTATTACTCAGCGTGATATTTTTCATCTGTTTTTGGATTTATCGATAAAGAGTTTATTATTTCATCAATAGTTGAACATTATATTTTGTTCATTGAATACGATCAATCGTAAACAATGATTTTTGTCATGGTGTTAGTGCTTATTTAGCACGCACTTTTGTGCCTCAGTGTAACGCAATGATGAATTTTTACAGAAATTAAAATATTGTTTGAACAATAATTTCCGTCCAGCAACCTAAAGACTGTCCTTGTTTTCTATCGCAGAGGGGGATAAACAGCTGTAATAATACAAAAAAATAGGTTGATGCCCTTTACTAAATGTCGTCCAAATAATTGAGGGAAAGACTGAATTGTGCCTTTTTTGGTAGAAAAAAAATCTAATCTATGTAATGTGTGGTTCTTGATCAGTATTCTTTTAGATTCAAAATTTAAATTTAAAATGTTGCATTAAGAAGAGTAAGAGTGTAAACCACTATTACTAATTAAACCTAAGGTGTGAAGCTAATAATCTTACACCACACTCGACAGATTACAGCTGTATTCCCGTTCAAAGCAAAAGACAATTCCACTTTTTAAAACATTCATGGATTTTACTTTATCAATGTGTTACCTTGACCAGCATTTATACGTAAGAAATTTTTATCTTCCCTTCATTTTATTTAGTTACGGATTATAAAATTCCTGTGTGCTGTATTGGTGTCTGATGAACATCCTCCCCACTTTTACTTTTATACCATTTTCATTTTCTTAATTTGTTGAGATCTTTGTTGATTGGTTGGTTTTATTTTTGAGCCATCTACTTAGTTTTCAGTCTGCAAATTTACACACAGAGGTATTTGAAAGTTACTTGAGTCAACTCTTCTCTGATTGTACCTCAATTTTATTTTATTATCTTAATTGTTCACAATTGTTTACTGCTTGTAAATATTTTTATATAGCAACTATATATGTGTCATGGTTGTAACCCCCTGTTTTTTTCAGATTATGTCCTTCCCTTCTCCTCTTTGAAATCAACAAGACAAGCCCAGTGTTACATTTGCATGATTGCAAATAAAAATGTACACTTGTGGCATTAGCCAAAGATTGCATGTGCCTAGTGCTCACAAAGCTTTGCTTATTGTGAACACATAAAGTATGAATGACTTATTGTTGAGATATACTTGTATAGAGATGTTAATCACATATTTTCTACCTTATGTATGTTAATATTGTATAATGTGCATATTAAAACCCAAACCCTTCTTTTTTAATGTTACAAGAGGGATATATTTGTTCTATGCTATCACTTCAAGCTCATATTGTTAAGAAAATATAAATCATTGTGCCTTCAATATTTGTTGAACGGTACAGAAAATAGATCTGAGATGTTAGACATTTTACTGTATTTTAATATTTATAATCATCGTATGTATACCCTGCTAAATGTGGACCCATATTTGACTGTTAGACCATTTGAGGCTCTGCAAGCTTGTGTGCCTTAGTGCATCTGTATGGACTGTTTCGTAATTGAGAAAATATATTTTTGGAGATTATCATTGTGGTTCTTTTGGTTTTATGCTCATGTAGAAAATTAAGTTGTTATAATCAAAGCGGTCTGGCATAGTCCAGTTTTGTATGACAAAATTATTACACTTGATTTATACGATCAGTTCCTGATCTTGTCATCTGTGCCACATCAATACTTTGAATAAATTATGATAAGTTCCATAAGTAATCTTAATTATTGGTCGCAAAGAACTGTAAACCATCACATTGGTTGTGCGTATATATGAGGTACTCAACTTGAATCTATCTCCACGCAACAACCACAACAACCCATAACTGGGAGAAGACTATATCCGCCTTCCTTTTCTTTTCCCCATTCAAAGAGTAGTACGCATACAACCATACCTTATTTTATCAAGTTTACCGTGAGTGTGGGATTGCACGAAAAGGAGTCTAGCAAATTAAAGGCATTACTCATTCGAACTTGAAATTTTATTGTCACAGAAACAGAAAACACAAATCAGTACACGAATGATGGTAATAATTATTCAGTTTTATTTAACCAAGAAAAAATTTTCATGACAGAAAAAGTAACAAAACCCTTAGAATGTCGCCTGCATTAGATGGTTGCACTGACATGGCAGTAAATGTAGACCTCGGCTCGTAGAACGAGGCGCCACTCTTAGCTTCGGTAACCTAGCTTTATGAAAGTCGAATGCACTCATACAGCTAGATAACCAAAGAAAAAATCAGCGCCTCAAGTGATGCGATAAAGTTGGTGGCTGCGGAGGGAGAGTGCAGCGCGGCAGGCAAGCGAAGAAGGCCGAGGACGTTGGCGGTGACGTCAGCAGGGAGCGAAATCGAGAGAAGTGTAGACATCCGGAAATCGTGACGAAGATGGTGACGTCAGGGACGAGGTGAGGTCACGGAGTCTCCGCTGGAGGTAATGCTGGCTCCTCATCGGCCATGACCTCCGCCGAAGAGCCTGGGACGCGGCAGTAGCAGCAGCAGCACAGCGACACCTGCGCAAACGTCGTGAGGGCAAGTAACACTACCCACCCCCCCTTCCCCATCGGCCCCAGTTAGACGAGCACGGGAAAGGACCGCCAAGAAAGTGATGCCCCCCCCCCCCCCCGTCCCGCGCATTTCACCAGAGCGTGACCGTGTGATTCGGACAGGCACCGCCAGGCACGCGGAACGCCCCTTGGCCGAGCTGCGCGGTGCTGCGGGAGCCGGAGGTGCCGGCGGAGGAGCTCGGCGTCTCACATGAAGGACTGCAGCACGCACAGGGCTCCTGTCCTGCGCCCCGTGACGACGCCGGCCAGAGTCAGGCTGCCTGCAGGCAGGGTTACTGAGAGTGTTCCCAGGACAGAGCACCGAGGCTCCTCCTCGGCGAGCGTGGGCCGCGGGGACCTGAACGCGCGGCGAGCCAAGGGCGCCGCCTCAGTATTCTACACGCACGAGCGCGCGCGGTCGCAGACACACACACACGCACTCAAACACACACACATACATCTCACAGGCGGCCAGACGAAAAATAACAGAAAATAATCGAAAATAATTCAGCGCAATGACGTGTCAGCTCTCAATGACCCTCTCCCGACTTTCAGCCACGCCAACGCCCTCCCCTCCCCCTCCCGCGGTCTGGCTGGAGCGTCTGGAGCGTCGCTCGCCACGGACACAAGTCAACGCATGGCGTGGGCCGAGCATGGCACACGCCCCCACCCCTCTCCCAGCACGGATTAAATCAGCGAGGATAGTTAGGCAAAGTGTTGGGCACGTTTAAACTAGCGAGGAATCAGACAAGTTGAAATGCTTTCCAATCAGTGCCCCCCCCCCCCCACCCTGTGGCCGGCACGAGGCACTGCGGGGAAGGCCGCCCCAGCAGGGAACAAACGCAAAACTAAACTTTTAATCCAAAAACTAAAACGTAGGTCAACGCATAACCATGGCTTATGGGGCGCCCCCGAGCTGGCTCCAAATAGCACCCTAATAACCAAAAGAATGCCTCTCCACCAACCCACCAATCTCCCCCATCCCAAATGCCGGTGCGACTTGACAGATGTATCTTTTTGTGGCCGCCTGCTTACCTGTCGGGCTGGAAAGAGGGGGGGGGGGAGCCGTCCCGAAAACACCTACACACCTTCCTCGAAGAGCCCGCCCCGCCCCGCCCGCAGGGGGAGAGGTAAGACGACCCTCCAGATTCCATCCGACATTCCAGCCTGCCTCCGGGCGGACGCGTCCGGACAGTGTGCCCCGGCCGAGCTGAACTGCCTGGCAACGGCCCCGCCCGCCGGTTCGGACGCGGACGCTACCTGGGGCGGTCCATGGCCTCCACGGCCGGGCCGCCGCCTCGCCTCCCCACGCCAGCATCGGCCGGTCTTCGGCCCACCGAACGGCCCGGCAGAGCCGGCAGGTACACGGATCACAATGGGCCGGCCCTCTTGGGAAAGACCATACCTGTGCCGCCCCTCCACCCCCCCCTCCCCCACAAACCGAGTCCCAAAAAAGAGCGGTTGGCGGGAAGCCTCGACGCCCCCACCCCACCCCCGGGGAAGCTGGTCGACGACGCCGACGTTTGGACATGTCCACGTCGCGGCCACCACGTGCGCGAGGACGCCGACTGCGCGCCTGTCGCCATAAGCCGCCCAAAATGAAACCGGTCCGAAACGAGCAATAACGAGAAGGGGGAAAATCGTTTCACAATCCAGCCTAGAGCGTGTGCGGTCAGGAGGGAGGGGGGGGAGGGCCCAAGTCCGCGAGACAGAGAGCCAGTGTGCCGGCGTGGAGATAACGCGCACGGGGGGCCGACACCTGGGTGACGCGCGCTGTGTGCAGGACTCTGTGCTGGCTGTGTTTGGACAGCGGCGGGCGGCACGGAACGGAGGACTTTGGAACACCACGGGCCTTTGAAATACAAAGCACAGGCCAGGTCCGAGCCGCGTCGCCGACTGCCCTCCCCGGAAGTGCGAACACGCAACGGCACTTTCGCAACCCCCTGTACGCCTACAGACTCACACACACACACACACACACACACACACACACACACACACACACACACACACACACAACACACATACACACAGAGGGAGAAAGAGATTCCCCACACGCGCGCCTCACCGGAAGGCTTTTCGAACGGAACCGCGGCCGTGAGACAAGTGGGAGGGAGAGAGAGGTAGAGCGAGGGGGGAGAGAGTCGGGTGGGAGAGAGAGAGAGAGAGGCAATGACTGGCGCCCGGCCCCGCCGCCAAGGTAAAGACACAAGGTGAGGGAGGAGGCCCGCAGGCCCGCGTGGCGCGGCGCGGCGGGGACCGCCAAACGGCTTTGGCAGAGGTCGACCAGGCGGTTGGCGCCAACTCCCCTGGCGGTTGCCTCACCTGGCCTCGGCTCCGTCTCACCGCTGGAGCCACGTTGGCTTACGATTTAGGCCCGCGCTCAGAGCCGCAGCCGACCGGGCGGCCTCGACCCGCGCCAGCTGCTGGCCGGGTTCGAGAAATCTATTGAACGGGGGAAAGTTTGAAGCGCCCATCAGAACTGAACAGCTGGCGGCGGGGCTGGCCACCTGGTCGGTGCCACGTGCTGTACTAGACGACACGCACGGGGACCGGGCACGGCTGAGCCCTCCACGTCGCGGCCCCGCCCCAAAGCCCCTCCAAAGGCTACAGCCAGACGGCCCCTACTCCCTAGCTACCAACGACGCCCAAGACTTACCTGGTGCTGCGCCAGCTGCGGTACGCCCTCGTGGTCGATGGTCGACGCGGTGTGTGGCGGTGGCACGGGGCGCCAGCGGGGCCGGCTCCAGCCTGGCGAGCACTCTGGTGGTCGAGCAGGCACAGCTTGGCCTCGGGGAAGGCACACCACAGCACAACACCGAGACCGCGCACCACTCCACTCGGCAGAGTCCTGGACCCGAGTCCTGGGCTTCTCTGGTGACGACGCCCTCGTGCAGGAGGGGGGCCACTCCTCTCCCCGAACCTCTCGGCGGCGCACTCCAAGGCAGACTGACCACCTCTCCGCCTCACCGCGCGCAGCTCCGCACGGACAGCCTCACGCCCGCTGGAGCACGCGGGGGGAGGGGGAGGGGAGCTCGGCGGAGGCGAGGAGGGGAGTGGCAGGGAGGCCACGCACGACTCCGTCCCCTCCCCTCTCGCGCGCTACCTGTCCGGCGACTGCCGCCCTCCCCCACCTCACCTGTTCTCGTCCTTTGTATTCTTCTCTTTTGCCTCTCCCTCCCGTCCCCCCACCTCCCCGCCCCTCCTCTTCTCTTTGGCATACCTACCTGCCTGGCAGACACCGGGCGAGCTGAGCGTGGCGTAGCGTAGCGCCCCCGTCGTCGTCGAAATGGCAAGGAACCGAACGAACACGGCGTGCTCTCGGCCTCCGGAGCCAACGTTCCCGCCTTCGCCGACCTCCCCCTTCACCGGCGTGCCCTTCTCCCTCGCGGCGTGCGGCCCCTGCGGCGGCCTGCAGGGTCAGCCTGCGGGGTAGGCCGCCGTCCCTCACCCGTGGCAACGGGTTGCCTACCTCCGCGGGGCGCTGGCCTGGCGCTGCTCTCGCTCCCGCCCCATGCCATGCCCAGCCCATCTCAGTGTATATCGAGCACGAAAATACGAAAGTAATTGTCGAGTGTTTCTGCTCTCGGCGTCCCCTCCCGGGGGCACATAATGTACCCGCCACGGTTCCCACCCCGCGTCCAGGTGATATGTGGCCGGCCCCGACCGGGGGAAGGTTTCGGGCCGAAGCAGAGGAACGGGGCCTCCTGGGCCTTCTCGTCGTGTTGGCTTTTGGGGGCCGCTTCCGCGCCGCCGCTCGCGCCGTCTCGCTCCCGCCGCCGTGCGCGCCGCGGCCGCGACAGAGAGCGCCGAGGCCCCCCTTTGGAATGCAGCCTGGGCTGAGCTGAGCGCGAATACCGGTTTTCGTTTTGGTTTCCCGTGGCGTCGGGGGGGCGATCCGGGGACTGGGCCTGTCTGGCGAGAGAGTGTGTGAGAGAGAAGGACACGTCGAGAGACAGAGGGAGACAGAGAAGGGGGAAGGGGGCGCTCTCAGGATTGGACTTGACAAACACAAACGCCCGTTCGGGCCATACGTTTTGCAGTCCGGGTTGTTTCTTTGGGCGGGATGCTGGGCGCGCCGCCCTCTCGACTGGACCCGCACTGGGATGGGGCGTCCTTTAGGTCCTCGGAGAGGTTCTCTCGGCTCTCGCTAATGCCACATGAGAGAGA